CCAGCCGCCCATTGCCACTGAGACCCCCCCCCCTCCCCCGTCCCTGTACCTTCTCACTCCCCGCCAGGTCCACCAGGTAGAGCTTGCCGCTCAGCTTCTGCTCCGTCTGGGTGTTCTCCTGCTTGACGTTGATGAGGAAGATGCTGTGACTCCTGGAGCTGTGCTCGTTCATGTCTGTGAGGCAGAGAGAGCCCAGGGTCACAGACAGACAGACAGAAAAGCCTCCATTCATTACTGTGGCTCTAGATTTCAGCAGAGCTTGGCTAAAGAGGACAAATGCATCGGATCGGTGGCCGTGTGCACAGAAATACACTCAGGGGAACAACATAATGGTCTCTATCATGTAATGAACAATGACCTCTGGTTTCAGGAGCCCCTGAAATGCGATTCTTGAAATGCATTTATGTTCTGGAATAGCTGTTGTGGTTTGCATGCGATACGCGCACACCGATAAAAAGTTACACAATATGACGGCTTTTGTTCCAAAAGCTTTTTTTTGTCACAGCTAAAATTAACTGCTCATCACGTGAGCCGAGTCTTAAAGTAGACAATGGCAAATCATGGAGATCAGCATGAGAAATGAAACCCTTTTCAAGAGCAATTGGAAAATGAGAAAGTTATTACAAAGAACATTATCAAGAACATTACAGATCTCTCCCTAAGTTGGAGATATTGTGTGTACAGAGCAGCCAGCAAAGGGCGGGGTTTGGCTTGGCCAATCACGTAGTGCTTACTCGTTACGGCGACGTGCCGGTTGGATTTTCCTTCATCGATGGTGTCCATGACCTCCTCTGGGCTGCATACGAAGCGCTCGGTGCACCCCTGAGGTCAGAGCACAGCTCTCAGACAGTACAAAGCAACGTCCAAACCACCTCATTGCAAACGGACATCTCACAGTCTGACTGTGCACTGTGGCGTCTGTGAGTATGTAGCTGAACATACACAGCCTGTACCGCCTTTCAGCAAAGAGCACCACATTTCTCTTACCATTACATTACATTAATTTAGCAGAGGCTCTTATCCACAGCCACTTCCAGCACACAAGAACAGAAGTGCATCCATCCTTTATACTCTATAAAAAGAACTGGAGGTGTCTGATATATTTCACACTATAAAGGGAAATACCGAGGAGGACTGTGGAGGCAGTTTTATGTTCTGCGAAGAGAACTAAGGGGAAAAAGGTGGAAATTATTTACAAGTAACAGTCACGCTAACCCGAGGAAGCACTTCTCACTACAGGCAGATATAACCACTGGGGATAATTTGCTCTGATTTGTGGAGGAGTGGGGGACTTAGGCATCCTTAGGTAACAAATTCAATCAAGACCATGAACTAAGGACACACTTAGAAGAAAGAAATCACCAGATTATCATTTAGCACGTAAGCTCTTATTTACATGAGTCTGGCAGCACAGAGGAGGCCTTTTGCTATGTGCTGTAAGTCAGTCTTACCTTCACATAGGGGACTCTGTTTTTGTCTTCATGTACTGAAAGGTTAGTCTTCGACACTGGCAGAGAGAGGAGCAATGTCAGTGCGAAGACTTCACTCAAAGACATAGTGTTGTTTCTTTTCTCATTTATTTTTATTTTGCGCAGGTTAGTAACTTTAAAAAGCCGAGTAATCACCAGATAACTTGACCAAAATGTCCATTTTCTTTCTTTGAAACATTACATTTTAGTAATTCCAATATGACAACTGGGATGGGAGATGAAGTTTTTCTGCTACTTACCATCCAAAAGGTCCCTAATTTTGTCCAAGTAAATTTCAAAATATGAAACCTGCAACAAAAAAAAATCCTATTAGCCTTGTAACCATTTTCAACAATTTCAACAGCCAACTACCCTTCCATACTGTTCAAATCACTTTATAGGTCCATTCAGGATTAAATAAACACATCCATGGGTGTAACAAGATGGAAGGCAGTGCTCCACATGGCAGATGAGTTTAGAAGTGAGACGCAGGCCTGCATACCTTGATATGGAACTCCAGGTTCTCATCCATAGCATAAATGTAGTTAAAAATGTCTTGCACAATTCTCGGGATGATGCCCATCCCGTCTGTGTCGTGGAGGTTACCCTAAAAACAGCACAGCTCCGTTGTAATTCACAAATCATCAACACAGATAAACACTAATTTTTTTCACAAAAGCTTCAGAATTTGATTGATGCAAGTGAGTATTTATCATCAGGATTAAGCTATTTGATCATTATATGCACTACGCATTTTCAGACAATGAAGCATTTCTGCCACATGCACACAGAAACATAAACTCTAAACTCTTACCTCCATTGTGTGCGTTTTACCAGAGGATGTTTGTCCATAGGCAAATATTGTTCCATTATATCCCTCAAGTACATCTGCATGGAGCAAAATGCAAGCATGTAATCAAACAGTCATTGCAAACTTAACTGAATTCTATGTCAGTACATTTTCGGTACATACATAAATACATACATAAATACCTACATACATACACACACACACATGCAAACACACACGCTCACTCTCCTTAAAGACATCTCTGGCTGATGATAGTAAGTCAAACATCTTCAGTAAACTTTTAGATGCTTTACCATGTTATCTCTACCATAAAAGGACATTGCATCACTGCTATCCAAAGTGCAACTAACATTACTAAAGAATTAACAGGATTTTATCAAGTGTTGAGTTTCAGAATAACACATAAGTGTTCCATGCTTGAAATGCCCTCTACTGTATACATTCCCATTAAGCAGAGCACCATCCAGCCGTGCTGGATGCTCTGTACCTTTGACGATCTTCTGGGCGCAGGCGTTGTACACTTGCTCCTGTGTGGTGTTGGACTGGAACACTCTGTCGAACATGTAGGGCTTTCCCTGCGAGAGACAAGCGCAGAGTTTGAGTCAGAGTGACAGGTGAACGTAGCAAACAGGGTTCAAAAGGACATGAAAGGATCATGAGGTTGTTAATTCTCTTGAGAAACATCCTTTCAAGAACAGTGCGTATGCTCTCCATCACACTTCCTATCAAGCAAGGGAAGTCTGTGGCTGTGCCGTCGCAAAGTGCAGGTCCAAATAAACAGAGCTGCGTAAGGTGCAATTAACCGTTTTAAAAACCTGTGAGAAGCTGTGATTGAACACTGTACTTTAGCGTAGCCTAATCACCTAAAAACAGACCACAGGACCAGAGCACAAGAGCCTCTCAAAGTCACCCACAAGGCCGCTCATTCTCGTCCCAGCTCCTCATCCATGGTGTAAGCTCCATGACTGTTCCTGCATTTCCCATGAGTCACCGGACTGACAAGACAACAATACCCCATGCAGTAATGGACACTGCTCTCCTCTAAGAAACATGCACGGCACATTGAAAAAGCACAGTAAGACAAACATATTCACAGAATAAGTGTAGGCTACATATCTTGGAATGAGAATCTATATAGAACATGGGCTGCAGAACTGCACACAACGTCTCACTCCAATGAGCTCCTCTATCCAACCAAGAGTGGATTTCTGGAAGCAGTTTCTATTGACAGACCTCTGCTCTGATCAAAGTAAAGCCAGTAGAGCCATCAATAGCTACTGCTACCATACACATATTTTGCTATGGAGGACAAGAATGAACATTTGGTATGTAATATTTTGTGTTTAATGATACAGGGCTATTTGGCTGTGCACTATTTTAATAGCTAAATAACCAGCAACATTTAAAGTAATGATAACAAAAAAGAGCCTGTGTTCCATCCTCCTTTCCAACAGCTTTGGCACTCAGTTCACTAAACCTAGCTCTGGCATGACTGCATCCAGGCCAGCAGCAGATTCTGGGGCCAGAGGTAAACCTGCAGAGAGGAACCAGGCAGCGCTGTTCCTGGGCCAGTGAAAGCAGCACGGTTCTGGCACATAACTGGGTAAAGAGCCCTGCAGGTGACACAGTACACGCCCCGCACCTGAGGGCAGGGGGCGTGGCTCTCTCTGTCAGCGCCCCACCCCTAACACCACCTGACTCTCAGCGGTGAGAAGACTTCCCAGCGTTCTCACAGGAACAGTGGCCAATCTGCAGGCTCCAAAGCCAGAGATATCACACGATGTGGAAATACACCACGAGACAGAGGTTGTAAACAGACTCTTCACAGGAACAAAAGGTCAAAGCTGCAGAGAAACGCCGCCTTTTGAACTTCAACTGTCAGTGCCGTTTTAGCGCCTCACTGCTGTACATACGGTATCTCGATGCCTGATTACTTACGATGAACCCCAGTCGGCTCAGCTACCACACGCCCCCTCAGTCGCTCTGGATAAGAGCGTCTGCTAAATGCATTTAATGTAATATAATGTAATGAAATGAAACAGGGGGCCCTGAAGGGACACCCCCTACAGCGGCTTCCCTGCTTGGGTCAATGGCACTCCTGGGCCCTGGCATTGGGGTGTGTCAGCCTCTCTTATCACTGGCCTCCTTTCCTGCCTGTAAAAGGCTAAGCAGACAGAGCCTATCAGGGGAGCCGCCATGCCCTGCTTCCTTTCAGTAAAGAGAGGGGCTAAAACATGCTGCCCTTCCTCCACGCCTTCCCATGAGGCACTGCACCGCCCCCTGTCGCATTGAACAGGAAGTGCCCTGTAAGTAACGTGAAGCTGTATGTAAACAGTGACAGCAGCATGGGTAAGTGGACGCCCTTTCCCACGGCCGGTTGCGATGACAGCCACCGGGCTCCTCTTTCTGCTGCCATGGAGACACGCCCCTCTGCTCGGCCCCCCTCCCTGTCCCCAAACTGAGATCACAGGAACCGTAACCTGAGACACGCATGCTGTGAGCTCACCGGCCCTCAGGCCGCCTCTCTGCTCCTGGTTTTTCCTTCCTCCTGCTCTTCTTCCTCTTCCTCATCGGACACTGAGAGAGCTGCCTAATTTTACATTATATTATTGGCATTTAGCAGACGCTCTCATCCAAAGTGACTTACATATGATACAATTTTATACAGCTGGATATTTACTGAGGCAATTCTGGGTTAAGTACTTTGCCCAAGGTTACAGCAGCAGTGACCAGGCAGGGAATTGAACTAGCAACCTTTTGGTTATAAGCCCTGCGCCTTACCACTACGCTACGCTGTTTCCCCAAACAGGATTTTGCTCACATTTCCCAGGCTTACTGGTCCCAGCCCACAGAGGTATCCAGAGTATTTTTGTTTTGATAGACCCAAAGCCATACTCAGTGAGGCCAACAGCTTTTTCACGTCAGTTATTTTTCACAGCATTTACTCACTCATCTCTGAACTGTCATATTTACCAGCCACAGACTGCACCTTGCTCACATATTGATTTTAATGGCTCCTGGCCCCCAGCTACCCCCACTATGGGTGAAAAACACCATTTTGCTAATCCTAAAAGAACTGCATGATAAGGCTCATATTTGGCACGTTTGCTGAATGTCTAGACGTCTGTGAAATGCTTTTTGCCACCGCTCATAAATCACACCTGTCACGGCCAAATACACTTTTTAACAACTCTTAATGTTGATGATTCATTTATTTAAGCCACATGTGTTGCACTAATCAGATGCAGCCTTTAGGTCTGCATGCAATCCTTAGGCCCAGCCACACCCAATATGGTGGCAAAACGCCATTTTTGCACTAATCCGTTCACATATTTGAGTCGACTCAAATTTCACTTGCTGGTCATAGTCGGCAGATCTCTGCGTTTTATTTTTATTTGTCCTCTGTCATGAGCCACACCCAATAAAACCATCCGTGCAGTTGTTACGTATCAGAAACGTCTCACAGCATTCCTTATTCATTTCGCATTCAGCACATTCAATTATGAAGTATACCCAAGTTGCCGGTTTTGGCTCAAGGACCCCTGCCACACCCACATAGTATTACAAAATGTGTTACTTCTATATAATTTAAATTACATTACATCACAGTCATTTAGCAGATGCTCTTATCCAGAGGGACTTATACAGGTTACAGTTTTTACATCGTGCTCATTTATCCAGCTGGATATTTACTGAGGCAATTCTGGGTTAAGTACCTTGCCTAGTGGGGAACTGAACCCGCAACCTTTCAGTTATCCTCACAGCAGGGCATCCCTGCTCTTTAACACTGTGCTACACTGCTGGCCAAATTCAATTTTCTGAAAACATTTTTAGTCTAGTTGACATAGTGTTTACGGTACACCCAAAGCCACAGTATCTATAATTCTGGTACTGACCATGTGCTCCTTCTTTTTAATTCAAACCTCCCACAGAATACAATGGCTCTGTGCTGTCAGCGCAGATAAACGCACACGCGCAGAACACAGCACTCCGTCCACTTCAGAACTGACCCCAGATCAGTGCAGGTCGCTACCTCTATGACAAGCGATTGTGTGTCCCCGCCCCCGGGGGGCCGACCGCCCTGTCATCACCGCGTCAGCTGGCCTGGCTGGCAGTCACAAGACAGGCAGCCGCCCCGGCCGGGCCTGTGGGGGCGATGACACTCCAGTGTGCGGGAAGCCGCCGCCGAGAACCGGCCCGTCTGATGCAAGCCACCAGAACAGCACATCGAGGCAACAACCTCTGAACCTTTTTACTGCCACTACTTTCATAAACCCGAGTTATGCTTCAACCAAAAACGCTGCTCTGCAACATGTTAACAGCGGTGAGAGATAGAATTAAGCACGTAGATTTACATGAAAAGGAATGCGGGTCCGAACTCAATGGCAGGCTACTATAGTGTATTCTGAGGAAGCAGCTGGCGTGTCAGTCTGACAGGCGATGGTTCTGTCTCCCTGTGCTGGTGCAGTGCCACTATCTGCACAGACGTCCATTTTCCTGTGCGCACAGTAATGCTGCATCACTGAGACAGCTGTGTTTTAAAGTGAACACTGGAAGCCATGAAGTGAAGTGCCTCTGAACGCGTCTGCGTTATGTTAGAGCCGGCAGTAAAAACCTCAGTACACTGGAGTGGCTGGCTGTAAAATCCTTCATATTCATGACATCACGCTGCATTCACTTCCTTTATGAATTTAATTGCCAGCTGACCTCACTCCGTATAATTTTCCATGAAATTTTGACCATGTTATGACCATTCAGAGGAAGCCCCAAACGACAGTAGAGTGACCACTGGTATGGTCATTCAGGTCACATGCTCACATGTAGGCGACTCATACAGGGGTTAACATTCGCCATCGCTGACTGATTTCCTGCAGAAATCTAAGAGCCAAATTGTCGCCTTTAACCCAAACAAGCATCTGCCCCAGTCGGGGACCTCATAAATCACTGCGACCTGCTTAATGCCGTCACTGACAGCCAACAACAAGGCCCGAGGCACGCAGTACCAAAAGCTGTCAATGGCTTTCATGTCTGCATGACAGAGGGAACCTAATCTAATTTTTTTCAGGTTTGATCACTCACATGAAGTAACTTGCAGTCAGCTTTGAAACAGCATTGCTATTTACACTGTAATTACAGTCTCTGAACAGCTTAAGAGCTGTCAAAAATGTCACTAATTCTAGTATTCACATAAAAAACAACAGCAACAAAAGCTTCATACTTAAATGACTGTGACAGGTGATAATCAACATAATACACATAGACACAGCTTGGTGACACATGAGTTTCTATGAATTATCCTCATATTACTTTACTTGCTGCTGCGTGTATGTTTCTTTGCTGTTATTAATAACTACCCCTCTTTGGGGTGAAATCAATTATTTTATACCTGATGAACAGAATGGCTTTCAGAAGGAGCTGCCTAGATAACATTACCTTCATTACATTTGCCTGGAGCTGGAATGGAGCTGGAATGGAACCCAAAAGTTGACACATTCTATGAAAACCTGTCTAATTTGAGTTAGGGATTCCGGATATCTGTTTCTGGAAAGCACAAGTCATTACGAGTCAAATAAGGTGCTAGGCACAATGGTAAAGTTTAAACTGAGCAAGTACTTCCCTTTAGGTTGGTTTTTGCCAGTTCGCAAGTTGAAAGGGAATTTTTTAAAAGATACAAAGATAAGAATTTTTTATTCTATAATTTACTGACTGCCAACCTGGTGCACCTGGCATACACCTGTCTGTCTATAGCTATGAAATAAGGAGAGTGGTGGCTTTCAACAATTCTCGACAACAGTGTTTACTTCTGTTTGACACGCATGTTTCATACTCCTCTCTACTCAGAAAAGCTTCTGCCAGGTAGGTTGCATGGTAACAGGGACAGCTGGGAAAAACGCCATTAAAAAGGCCTGCTGGCGTGGAAGCTCTGCTGTGAAGATGCCCAACAGGGCGGGTCTCATTAGAGCTCAGCATCCAATCAGCACCAGTGTCTAACCAGCTCCCGCCTCCTGGGATCCAATCACAGCTTTTTAATTTCCCTGTTCCACTGGTGCCACAGCAGGCAGGGCCAGGGTCAGTCCTACCACACCACCCAGGCCTCTTTAGGAGGACTGGTTATTCCAGGCCTCGCCACGAGGTCACCTTTCCAGGAGGACGCGACTCCAAAAGCCCCCTAATAAAGCTAAACAAAGCATCAGCTAGTGAGCCCTTGTATCCTGTGTCCGTTCACCACAAGCAGTGTGAGGTTCCCACCGTAAATAAGATCTCATTTCATACCCTGTGCTGCATGCTGATTTACATACAGCCGCATTTCCATTGGCCATCGAGTGCTAGGTGACGGCAGGGAAAAACAGAACAGCCAATAACAGAACACAGCCTCAAATTCTGACAATACAATTAGCCTTTCACTCAGCAGGCCCCATTAGGCACAGGCTATTAATTAACCTACTTACAACAGGCTCCACCCATTATTATGTGTAGAATACTTTGTAAACTAACTCATTCACCCTCTCTTTATATAGGCTACTGAATACAAAATCTCCTCTACATGACAGGAACCTCTCGTTATGGTCCATCTGACAGGGTTTATTACACAGACTGTGCTCCCTCTGCCACCAACACACTGAACATGCTCAGGTTGTTTTGTAATCCCAGATTATAAACAAGAGAAAATTGCTGGTTAAGGGGAACGCTCTATTCGCTAAGCTCAATTAGACCACAAATGACAGCCAGTGGCTTAATGCTGTTTATTCCTTAGCAAATTAACCTACATTTTTGAATGTCTTTTTTAATAACGTGACTGGAACCAGGATTAAGAATGATTTTTTTTTTCCCTCAAACATCACACTCTATGCAAATGTACTGGCACAATTCTGAGGGCAAGCTTCTCTGGTTAAACCCATTTTATGAGTTGTCCACTAACACATCCCTGGAAATAAGACTGGAATAGCAAAGGCCCTTCCGGGCCACAGAAACAGAAGCACATCATAATCTAAAATAAACCCCTTTATTAACAGTTATGGAAAAGTGTCAAGTCACTTAACATCTGCTGTCATGCATTTGCTAGGAGGCTCTGTTCAGTGTCTTGTGAACTGCGTTTTGATCGGGCTCCACATTAATGTCTTAAAGTCACAGACAGCTTCACAGCTTGTGTTCTATAATGAAGGTTTCTCTGCTCTTTGCCAAATAAATCAGGAACTGAACTCTTGCAGTGCTTTAGTCTGTCATCCTCAAAGAGAACCATTATGGAGGTAGGCCTACAGATAAAGCAGTTACGAAACACTACATTTCAAGACCTAATAAAGGGACAAAAATTGACCTTTTAAAGCAAGTTTCATCAAAAATAGAAAAAAGATCTCTAATAGCAGTGTTGAATATCTACTCCATTTATTTATTAACTGCTGTGCTCTGCTATATGACAGGACTGTGAACAACCCAGCTAGGCTTACATATTACATCATCTAGTGACCGATGAAATGGTAGCCAAAGCTAGCTAAAAAAAAAAACCAACTGAGATGCAATATTGTCAGACAAAGTTTCCAAACATGGATCAAACATTATCTTCCCATGGCAGTTTATACAGCCTAAGAATCAAACCATTTCTTCTGAGACATTTAAATATGGTTTATTCACAGAACACTGAAACTGTACTGGTCCCCACAATGACAGTGGATAACACTGGGGTGTCAGGTTCTGACCCCTAATAATTTAACAACTCCATTTCAGGTCCTTCCAAACCCCTTGGAGTCATTTCCTTGGTTGGCAATGTTCAGTAAGCTCACTAACAGTGTTGATGGTGGTT